GCCCCCAAAGCTCTTTGGAACAGAATGATTTTCAGCATTTTCCAAAATGCAAGTAAGATGGGGGTTCTCTTCCCTTTCCTGCTGCAGGAATCCTCAGTGCTTCAGAAAGCAAATTTCATTTGTGAAAGAGTTCCACCACTGCCCCTTTCTGGCAGCACATAGGAATTGCATAAGGCAAATGGAAAAGAGGGTATTCCTGCACTGCAGTCTTAAATTGCTTGTCTCCCCTCTGTGAACCTGCTGAAAATGAAACCGGCTTAACAAATCTCTCTCCAAAGTTTAGCCCTTCCTCCACACTGACCATGGTGAGGCCCTGCTGCTTTGTCCGGACCCCTGACTGATAGATTTCCCTTCTTTGTTACCTCTGGAGCAGTAAAAACAAAACAAAAAAAAGCCCACTGCCCTTTTAGCATTTTTTCCTGTCATTTGTCTTAGAAAGGGAACATAGCAGAACTCTGGTCAATTTCACTGGTTTTAAAAAGAAAAATCCAGGTTGATGTCCTTGCTCGACTCACGGCATTCATAATCCTTTCAGGATACAGAATATGGCCCGGGCGCATCAAAGCGTTCACCAATCCCAGAGCAGTCACGGTCCTTTTCGTGGCAGGTTTAGTGTGACAAGAACATCTCTAGCATCCCACAAATCTCCTTATCAATTAGGCCAGAAATATGCTTCACTGGTCCATAACAAGCTGAATGGCAGATAGATGTTGAATGTTCTCACAAGATTTTACAGTGAAGACATAGCAGGGGCATCTGGGGGGGGGGGGGGTGTCAAAAAGTCAAGACAGAAGTCATACTTGCACAATCAAAGCTCCGCTGTTTTCTTATGTGCAATGCAAGTAAAAGAAGGACGAGGCATCAATTGTACTGTTTTGATCCTGCATCTCCTTTTCCCGAACCCTGCCTGGCTTTTTGGTGACCAGGTGTCCCTACAGTACCTCTCCCTACAAAAAAACATAAAATGTCTGGAAACCACCAGAAAATGCCTTAGATTTCAGAGAGTTTCAAAACCATGCATTCAGATGCAATCCGAATGAATGAATGAGTGAGCGAGTGAGTGAATGAATGAAGGTGAGAAAATGACATTCCTGGGCCCGCCTCCATGCATGACATGCTCCGCCTACTTGAATGGATTGGCACACCCCCTGTAGCCTACATACCCCGTCCAAACATCACACACAGCTTTGCCACCAAAACACCAACTCTCTCTATTGGATCATATTTATAAGGAGTAGGAATCGCCCTTGCTTTGGAATAGACTGCTCCCCCAGGACATGACCCTTCCCTGTTATCTTTTCAGAAATCAGTCAAGACCATGTTTTCCAGGAGAGCTTTGGGATGGAGGGGAAAATATTATAGAAGCCATTGCAGCCAGGAAGTGTTATTTTATTTAGTTTGGAGGCCACATGATCTTTTTAAATTTATTTAATGTGTGGCAACGTTTTAATATGTGATGCTATCTGTTTCCTGTTTTACAGTGAGCCACCTAGAATCGTAGGAGGTGATGGCATAGAAATAGATGTAAATAAACATTATGGCTTAATGTGAAGGCCTCATTCACCCCACATGCTTAGGGAATGAATGACTCTCCCCAATACCTCAAGCCACACAGGGCATCTGCAGAATGTTGCTGTTTTCAGAACGACAAAAACAGCGCTGCGGCATTGCGTGCAAGGTCTGCCCCTTCAGGGTGTGTGTTCAACTTCAAAACACAAGTAGAAAAGGCTGAGACTTTGTGCCACAACACTGTTGTTTTTATCCCCCACCCTACCCCCTGTAGATACTCCTGAAAGATCCACGTAATAAAGATAAAGCCGCTTTCAATTCAAATGATTCCATAGACATCTCCAGGTAATTTTCTTTGCAATGGTAGAGAAGTGGTCTGCCACTTTCTTCTTCAAGGATTTTTTAAAACATGTTTAACAATGTGACATACAACTCTGGGATTTCCTGTGGCCTCCCATCCATTACTAGCCAGGTCTGGCCCTTCTGAGTTTGTTAAGATCAATCAAGGTCAGCTAGGAGCTACCACAAAAGGCCACCCCCAGTTTAGCCTAGTCTATCATATTGAATGAATACTGCTAGTAAGTGTTTCATCCTCCCAGATGAATGAAATTCAGATGGTTTGGTGTTTATGGTGCTCTCCTCAATATTTATCGATAGTAGTTAGTGCAGCTCTTCAGAGGTAATTTCAGTGGTGCAAAGTGTATTTTGTCAGGTGGACAGATCAGCTGCAACTCTACCAGGTTGGAGGTAACCATGTTACAGTCATTCACATTTTGATAACCTTCAATTTGGATTATTGTAATGCAGTGCACATGAAGCAATCCTTGAAAACTTTCAAAGGACCAAGACAGCATATTTTCCCCCAAAGATGATCATCCTGAATTTAACATCTTTTTAAAAAACAAAAACTAGGCAAAAATAACGTGTCTATCATCTTATTCTCAGAGACTATAAAACAACCCTCTCCCTTTATAAATAAATTGAGGAAAAAGTAAACTTCCTTTCAGGAAAATACATTATGTAGTCTTCCTGCATGGGTTAATATGCTCATGTTACATCAGTTTTCCATAATCTGCAGAGACTAGCCACTTTTTTTCCCTAGTCTGACTCCTCTGACATTTTTCCCAGTGCCCTCACCAAATTACATGATGCGGAAGACTACAAAGAGAGGGCCTTTTCAGTGGTGGCCCCACTTTTGGAACATGTTCTCTAGATAGCCTCACCTGGGAACTTTATTGTAATCTTTCTAGTACCAACCCCCCCCCCTTTATTCTCTCAAGTTTGTTTTCAATCTTTTAAGTATTGGTACTTTTTAGATTCTTGCATTGCTGGTATTATAAGCAGTTGTTTGTATTTCAGTTTTATTCTGTTGCTGTTCCAATTTGTTTTAGATCTTACATTTCGTTGTTCAGTCATTAAGTCGTGTCCAGCTCTTTGTGACCCCATGAACCATATCGCGCCAGGCCTTCCTGTCCTTCACTGCCTCCCTGAGTTTGCTCAGTTTCATGCTCAAGATCTTACATTATATTGGGTTATATTTGCTTTTAACGCTTTTTAAGCTATACATTTTTTTTAATGCCCAGAGAGCTTTGGCTATCATATTATATAAAATTATAGTTTATCAATAAGTGGACTCTGTTATACCGTCTACCAGCAACCAAAGGCTGGATGATCACCTATCAGAGGTTAACTTGTGGATCCTGCACTGAGGAAGCTGGATTAGATGATTTCTAATATCCTGTAGAGCAATGTTTCTCCACCTTGGCAGCTTTAATATGCGTGGATTTCAATTCTCAGAATTCCCCAGCCAGTATGCTGGCTGGGGAATTCTGGGAGTTGAAGTCCACACATCTTAAACCTACCAAGGTTGAGAAACGCTGCTGTAGAAAGTAAGTTTAATATGCGTGGATTTCAATTCTCAGAATTCCCCAGCCAGTATGCTGGCTGGGGAATTCTGGGAGTTGAAGTCCACACATCTTAAACCTACCAAGGTTGAGAAACGCTGCTGTAGAAAGTAAGGAAGATAACTGTGATGCAGATATGCAGAAGCTGTTGCCTAAACAAAGGGGCTAAAGTATTTTTTAAGTCCAGAATGTCCAGATAACATTCAGAAGCAGTACCTCCCTAATTCACTGGAAGGAGGAGGTACATCACAATCTGACTTGCAAGATTCTGTTATTATAACTAATCTCAATAAAAGTTGTTTTAGCTTTCCTTTGCAGTTGATTTCGTGGTCTGGTTACTGGGGCTAACACATCTCTTCTGACTGTGAATCATACCCCTGCTATCACAAACCTTAGTGCCAGCTGAAGTTTAGAGACTGACTCCTTCTGAACATCAGGCCTAAGAACAAACAAGGAGGAAGTTGTTGCCTTTACGGGCTGTTTGACAGCTTCTCATTGGAGCACGAGGCTGGTCATGGAGGCTGTGTTTGATGCCCCTTCTGGGTACCTTTCTCATAGGTGATTATTGCATGGACACATCACAGCAACCTTTGAAATCCAATGACCCCACGGCATTGCCTTCATCTCATTCCTTGCTCATTCGGGAAGCTGGTTTAAGGCATCCTTAGCTACGCCAATGTTAAAGCAGGGTTTTTCCCTTTATTCCAACCATCCAAAAGCAGTCTCAGCGGGTGAAACATCTGTTTGGCTCTGTCACCCATTACTAGGAAGGAAATCAGGTGACTGGCAGTGACTGGGAATAGAGGCAGAAGAAGAATCAGTAGATAAGACATCAAATTTCATGTTGGAATAGTTCTCTGTCAGCTCAAGGAATTGGGGATAGAACTTCATTTCAGCCATGGGAAAAGGTCCCAAGTCTGAAGGTACATCCCCATAGCTCCCTACCATCAGCTTGAAGGTATCTTACTGAACTATCCTTGAAGGATGTGTTCTCATGATGGAGCCTTTCTCTCATCCCCACCCTTTAGCTGAGGTCAACTAATTCCATATATCTGGTTCAGTATTAAAAGTGATGTTTTCCATCTTCTCCAAAAACAAGCCTTGCTATACCCATGATGTGTGGTGCTTGGGTGATGACTGGGGACGATAAGGTTTGGCTGTTGAAGGTACACCACATCTCCTCCAGTTGCTGGTGACTTCCTTCCTTCCTTCCTTCCTTCCTTCCTTCCTTCCTTCCTTCCTTCCTTCCTTCCTTCC